TACCTCGGGCTGGTCTCAAACTCCTGAGCTCAGGCAATCCACCTGCCTTGGCCTCCCAAGTGCTGGGATTATAGGCATGAGCTACCGCACCCGACTTTTAGTACATTTTTAAAAAACTTTTGCTGGGTATAGTGGTAATCTATATGGTATATCCATAATCCCAGCACTTTGGGAGGCTGAAGTGGGCAGATTACTTGAGGCCTAGGAGTTGGAGACCAGCCCAAGCAACATGAGACTCTCATCTCTACAAAAGATGTAAAAAAATTAGCTGAATGTGGTGGTGCTCACCTATTGTCTCAGCTACAGGAGCTAAGGCAGGAGGATCTCTTGAGCCAGGATTTGGAGGTTGCAGTGACCAATGGTGGTGCCACCACACTCTAGCTTGGGAGACAGAGCAATACTCTATTTCAAATAAATAAATAAGAATCAGTTTTACTGAAATATGGTTCATTTCTCATACATTTCACCCATTTAAAGTATACATTTCAGTGGCTTTCATACACATATATGCGCAACTAATAACACAGTCAATTTTAGGATATTTTTGTTACTTCGTAATGAAACCCTGTCCCCTTTGCTAATACTCCATCTTCTCATCCTCCCACAGCCCACAGCAACCACTAAACTACTTTCTGTCTTTGGAGTTTTTCTGATTCTGACTTTTATATGCACTGGATCACATGTGGCCTTTATATGCATGGATCACATGTGACCTTTTATATGCACAGAATCACATGCAGCCTTTTATATGCATGAGATCACATGTGGCTTTCATATGCATGGGATCACACGTGGCCTTTATATGCATTGATCACATATGGCCTTTTATATGCACAGAATCATATGCAGCCTTTATATGCACAGAATCACATGGTCTTTATATGCACAGAATCACATGTGGTCTTTATATGCACAGAATCACATGGTCTTTATATGCATAGAATCACATGGTCTTTATATGCACAGAATCACATGTGGCCTTATATGCACAGAATCACATGGTCTTTATATGCACAGGATCACATATGTCCTTTTATATGCATGGGATCACATGTGATTTTTATATGCACAGAATCACATGTGGTCTTTATATGCACAGAATCACATGTGGCCTTTATATGCACAGAATCACATGGTCTTTATATGCATGGATCACATGGTCTTTACATGCATAGGATCACATGTGGCCTTTTATATGCATGGGATCACATGTGGTCTTTATATGCACAGGATCACATGCAGCCTTTATATGCATGGATCACATGGTCTTTATATGCACAGGATCACATGTGGCCTTTATATGCACGGGATCATATGTGGTCTTTATATGCACGGGATCACATGTGGCCTTTATATGCACGGGATCACATATGGCCTTTTATATGCACGGGATCACATGTGGCCTTTTATATGCACGGGATCACATGTGGCCTTTATATGCATGGGATCACATGGTCTTTAGATGCACGGGATCACATGTGGCCTTTATATGCATGGGATCACATGTGGCCTTTATATGCACGGGATCACATGTGGCCTTTTATATGCACGGGATCACATGTGGCCTTTATATGCATGGGATCACATGGTCTTTATATGCACGGGATCACACGTGGCCTTTTATATGCACGGGATCACATGTGGC